GGTACAAGTTAATCTTGGTTTCATCAGTCCAAAGAATCTTATTCCAGAACATGGGAGGCTTTTTTAGATGTTTTCTGGCAAAGTCTAATCTGGCTTTCCTGTTCTTGAATGTTACCAGTGGTTTGCACCTTGTTGTAAACCCTCTGTATTTACATTCATGAAGGCGTCTCTTGATTGTAGATTTTGACAATGATACGCCAGTGAATTCTGTTGATGTTGTGAAGGGGTTTTTCTTTCTTTTTAAGAATGTACCCAACTGTTGATTTGGCCACACCTAAGGTTTTTACTATCTCTTTTGTAGATTTATGTTGTTTTTTCAGCCTAATGATGGCCTCCTGCACTTGCATTGAGATCTCCCTGGACTTCATATTTGTAGCTCCAGTCGAACAGCTGCCAAATGCCAACTCAATACCTGATATCAACTCCAGACCTTTTATCTGCTTAATTTGTCTTGAAGTAATGAGGGAATGGACCACACCTGGTCAATTAACTTCTTGTCAGTCAATTGTCCAAATACCTTTGAGCCCCTGGAAATGGAGGTATTTTGTTACGAATGGCTGTAATTCCTAAATGGTAAATGCCATATTTTTGTGGAACGTCTTAAAATAAAGCTGAAAGTCTACACTTCGATCACATCTTGATTGTTTTCAAATCCATCGTGGTGGAGTATAAAGGCAAAATCACACACACACACACACACACACACACACACATATATATATATATATATATATATATATATGTATGTATACACACACACGCACACACACTGTAGATGTATACAGGTTATATATATATATATGTTACCTGTATAGATCTACAGGGCTGAGAAACCCACTCAGTCTTTCCAAAAAAAATATTATTTATATATATATATATATATATATATATATATATATATCTCCATGTGGTTACCTTTTTATGACCAGGGATAAGATTACAAATTTAAATATTAACCTTTAAATTATACATTTCTGTGTGAGAATTCTTCGGTCAATAAGGTCAAAACAGATACAGCTTGTCAATTCTTTAATTTTATAACTTATAGCAATATTTTTTGTAAAATGTATCACATATTCAGTGGCATGTAAAAAACATTAAACATTAGCTCATTTTTGCAAAATAAAAAAGTGAGATAGAATGTTATAATTCTAAGGTTTTAATATTTTGCACTCTCTTATTAAAATATTACAGTCCATCCCCATTTAACCCAAACAAGATTTGTTTTTTAACTATATTTCTCCCCATCTCCCCAGGTAATGGTGTTGGAGACGTATGTGAGAATGACTTTGACAATGATGCAGTACTGGATTTGATTGACGTGTGTCCAGAAAGTTCTGAGGTCACACTTACAGACTTCAGAGCCTATCAGACTGTCATACTGGACCCTGAGGGTGATGCCCAAATTGATCCTAACTGGGTGGTCCTTAACCAGGTCAGCCTGGCAGATAATCTCTCTAGTGTTGTGCTTTTGTGCTGATCTTATTTCATGGAGAATAATACACTTTTAACCATTTGACAGGCAAAGTACACAGTTAATTCAACCAAAGCCTTAACCAAATTTTAACTAATGTATTTTAACTAGTTTGCAAAAGCACACTAGTTTGCAATGTAAATCAATTAACTGTATGAATTTCACTTTAGTAAAGAATACTCACGTAGTTGCTATTGTGTGGAAAAAATTCTTATTGATTATTGTGACATTTCAGGGTATGGAGATTGTTCAGACGATGAACAGTGACCCTGGATTAGCAGTCGGTAGGTCCCCTTTCAAAACTCAGCATTCAAAAGCCAGTTGATTGGTAGTTTTAGTGCTGCCAGAATTAGCAACAATCATGCAGCTGGTGCACAAACCATAACATATACACTATACACCGATCAGCCATAACATTAAAACCACTGACAAGTGACATGAATAACAATGATTATCTCATTTCAGTGGCACTTGACAAGGGGTGGGATATATTAGGCAGCAAGTGAAGAGTCAGTTCTTGAAGTTGATGTGTTGGAAGTAGAAAAAATGGGCAAGCATAAGGATCTGAGTGACTTTGACAAGGGCCAAATTGTG